GTATAGATCCCAATCGTCATTCTTGCCGTTCAGCATTTTAACAATACTAGCTTTTGCAATGCCGACAAATCTTTCACAGACTGAATTTCCTTGAGGTGTATAAGGTAATGATAATCTCCTGTCAATGCCACTCATAAGAATCAGTTGGGATACTACCTCATTGATAAACTCAGACCCATTGTCGTGAGACAAAATCCTTGGCCATGAGAATAGACAAAAGATGTTAAGAAGTTCTTTAGCAACTGTTATACTTGTTTTATCTGGAAGAGCTCGAAGAATTGTAAATCTGCTGAAGTGATCTACCATAACTAGCATGTAGTTATTTCCACTAGCAGACGTTGTGTTAAATGAACCAAGATCCATGCTCCAGTGATCGAGAGGTTGATCTGGTAATACACTTCTAAAAGGATGATAACCAACTTTGCTAATATTAAAATGAGCACAAGCGTCACAGTTAGATATAACACGCGTTATGTCATCTCTCATATTTGTCCAATGTAAATTGTAGTCTTTATGTATTGTGTCTTCTACTGCTTTAATACCGAAATGTCCGAGAAGGTGTGCTTTATTGATAATGTCAATACGATCTTTAACAGGTGGTGTCATATAATCAGCATATTGAAGAGCACGCATAATAAGTGGGGTTTTGTTGGTTCCCGAAGTACATACTTTGGTAGATATAGCACTTGGTTTTTCATACTCATGTTGAATGTTCATGTTTAAATCTTTTCCGTATTGTTTCATCGCTTTTTTATAAAAAGTAGAAGAAATCTTAAGCTGTGGCGTCGCTTTTGTCTTGTGTTTTTTATATTGGATTTTTTGGAATTGATTAGAAGGTTGTGACTGTGAATCATTTTGGTCGTGTTTATTTTTACGCTTAGGGATGAATGAAGACGTGTTTTCATCTACTAACTTTCCCCCCTCTAAATGATAATCCTCCGTGAATAAGCGACTACCAGCATCAGCAATGTCATTTAAATGTCCTGGCAAATGTACAACATCATAAGATAAACTGAATAGAGCTTCATAATAAGTCAATAATAAGTGGTTTGGCACTTCCTGACTGTGTAGGTAAATAAGAGACCGGTGGTCAGTATGCAACGTGAAATGTTTTTGAACTAACCATTTGTTAAATCTAGAAAAACAGAACACGATTGCCAATAATTCACGGCGTGTGGTACTGTAGAATGATTCAACTTTGGACAATGCACGACTGGCCATAGCGACAAAACGTTTTTCAGTATTCACGAGCATGTACAATACCCCAGAAATACCTGTATTGGATGCATCAGTAGCGACATGTAAAGGATATTGGTAATCAATAGGATGAATAAGTGGAGCTGAGGACAATGCAGTTTTCATATCGTTAAATGCTTGAGTATGCTCTTCTGTCCATGCAGCAGGTAAATCTTTAACATTACGTAATTTGTCAAGCTTATCGCTAATATGAGCATACATAGGGATAGAGGCTCGGAAAAAATTCATGTAACCTAAGTATGATTGCAACTTTTTGGTGGTAGCTGGTATTTTGAATTCAGATACGGTGTTTACTTTGCGATGATCAGGAGCAAGCCCTCCACCTACAGCAAGTGACCAACCCAAAAGATGAATACTTGTTTGAGCCAGTACTACTTTTTCAGGTGCAATAACTAAATTAGCTTTCGTTAAACGTTTCAATACTTCAGCAACACAATCCGTGTGATACGATAAAGGTCCATCAGTGCTAATTGTTAAATCATCAACATAAACATGAATGTATGGTAAATCTGAAAAAAGTTCTTGGAGTACTCGCTGTACCAAATTACCAACAAATGATATACCGAAACACATTTTCACAAAGCGATATTGTCTATTAGTGTACGGACACGTGAAAGATAATTTATGACGATCTTCGGGAGCAACAAGGAAACTGTTGAAACAAGATTTAATGTCAATAACCGTATGAATCTTAGCCGTACCGATTTTTCCCATGATGTCATGTATCAATGGATAACTTTGGGTGTCAGTGATAGTAAGTATAGAATTTAAATTACGCACATCAGTAACTAATCTAATTTTATCAAAAGTAAAAACGCCATCTGCATTCTTTCGACCGACAACCAGCAATGGTGAATTAAAACCAGTATGTGAAGTGGCGACTTCAATGACACCTTCATCCAACCATGTAGTGATTTGTTTACGAACAGGTGTCTCAAAAGCATATGGTAACGGATATTGTTTTTTGAAAGCGATGCATCCTGGCTTGGTATCTAAATGTATAATAGCACCTGGTAGATTACAGTATGTATTTTTAATATCAATATCAGCATTTGCAAGCAACAATGGATTTAACATAGATGTCATAGTTTCTCGTTCTGCAGGAGTTCCAAATGGACTGTTATTAGGCATAGAGATAGGATCAGCCGGGGCTGGTGGAAAAGGATTACTTTCTTGGATGTCGAAATGTGATATTGTTAATCCTGTAATACCTAGTTGTAATTTATGAAATAAATCCATACCAATCAAAGCTGGAACATTCTCATTGTTTTTGGATGTAAAAAAGTCAAATATTTTGAATTTATGGAAGATAGATTTATTTTTGTAAAAAATATTTAAATTCGTCGTTCCTAATCTTGCACTCACGGCATCAGGATGACCAAGTTGGACTAAACCAGAAGAAGGAGTAACCTGAATTTGATCTTGCAGGAGAGAAGCAAAAGAAGGACGAATTATAGAGAACGTGGCGCCAGTATCTATCAAAGCATAGGTTTTGACATGTTCTATAATAATGGGAATGATGATCATGTTAGATTTATTGTCAGGAAACCGACTAAATTCTGGATGAAACTTACATTGTTGTGCCTGACAGGCTACCATATCGGCATCCGTCATCTCGGCATCCATCATCTCCGTATCACCATCTAATACAGAAGTATCATCATGGTTGGTGGGAGCAGTGGCAGCAGCAGCAAAATCGTGCCAGACAGCAGTATCCTCTGGATCACCTGTATTGGGTGCAGTACGACGGGTAGCAGTCAAATGACGACGAGAAGCCGGGCGACGAGACACAGGAAAACGAGCAGTAGTCGTACGAGGAGCAGTGGCAGCAGCAGCAGTTGTACCTCTCAAACTGAGAGCACCCAGGTACATGTTCTCTTGGACGTTTGGTCCACCACGAGACGTGTTGCACACATGTTCACGCGTCCAATTTTCGGCTTTACATTTAAAGCATTGATTACGGCTTCGAGGAGCAGGTTCACCGGCAGCAGCAGCGTTGCAATCTTCAGTATTATGCGTCGTTACTCGATGGAAGCTACAATATTTATTGGATGGAATCTTGGCTTTACGTTCTGTAGGAGCTACATACGGACGTGACGAAGATTCGCCATTGGACGAGGAAAAAGGAACACGAGACGAAGACGAAGAAGAAGTAGATGATGACGGTACCACATTGGCACGAGAAGTAGCATGCTTGGATAGTCTGGATGACTTATGATAAACGCTGTTCTGATCGAAATCCGATGACGTACGTTTAGGAGCTCTGGGAGCACACTCCGATGCACTTGCTCTACCTTTACCCTTGGACAAGCGATTGACCAATGCACGAGCCAGACTGGAAAGAATATCTACATCTGATCGTTTATACTCAGAAAGAGACACAGAAGCGATCGTGACTTGTTCAGCCAAATTGTCAGGCAAAGCTGCTAAGAACTTCTCAGCCAAAACTGAATCAGGTAAAATCTGATCCACTGCACGACGACGCAAATTATTGAAACGATCAATGAAATCATCCAAAGTCTCCCCACGTAACATCGTAATGTTGTTCAATTCACGTGCACTGTTGTTTCTTTCCTCTTGAGCATTAAGGCCATAACGCTCTTGAAAGGCAACAACAAACTCATTCCAAGTAGGATCAGCTTGTTTAACTTTTCTAAAAGTTGTCAAGTAATCTTCAAACCAACCACGAGCGGGATCACTCAATTGTGGAGGCATAATACGTAAGTAATTAGCATCAAAGTCAATGTTATAGCTTCTCAAGACATCAGTGAAATTACGGAGGCATGTTTTAATGTCAATAAAAACAGGAGCTCCCTCAACGTGGTTGTGTCCTTCCCAGCAAAACTTAGGTAAGTTTCTTGGGACTACAGACGAAATTTTGGATGCTAAGATAGTATCACCAGCAGTAGCTTCCATCATGGTAAGGCTTTGCTTAAATAGTTCTATATCTTCCAAGCGACGCGCCAAACGAGTACGCTTATTTCTCAATAAGGTATCGCTCTCAGGTGCAGATGCGATATACATCGTTAACGAATGCATCTCATCTTGGGCCAAAGTAAGTGCAGATCTCATATCCAGCAGCTTATTTACTCCAGTAGCAGGAGCTGATTGTACGATAGGATGAGCTCTGTTACTGTTTACACTAGGTGCATTAGTAACCTCACGATTATCATACGAAAAATTAGGTCCGTTAAACGATAATTCAATATCCTCCATGGATTGCAATCCATGAAGTGAATCATGTTCTTGAACGTGAATTTGGGAATCCCCCTCAGTGGTAGTGGTCATATTATCCGACATCAAGGTTTCAGGTAAAGTGGTAATAGGATTATTATCCATAGTCTCGACCGTAAGAGCAGGAGCAACATTATTCATACTATTGGTAACAGCCTGGGCATACGTAGGAACCATAGTAGCAGAAGAGGAGGTGGCAACATTAGCAGGGGTAGTAGGATGAGCATCCATACCAGCAGAAGTAGCACGAGGAGAGGTTTGGATATTCTTGGGAGGCATTTTGAATCAAAAGTAGAAGGAAAAAATTTTTTATGTCGAAAAAAAGTAGAGTTGATAACAGCTTGGTTAAAAAAAATGATAAATCGACGATAATTTAGGAAAAATGACAAGTAAGATTAACCAGATTGCAAAAATTAACTGAACTTTTATTAACATAAAATTTAGGGGTCCTTTATATACATATTGAATTCGACCTCCTTCTTAGACAGGGCTAGATGACAGGCAAGATTATGACTGACATGCCATATCTTGAAAGTAAGTAATCCAATGAGAATCATATAATAGAAGAAAGAGTGGTACACGTTTCTATAAAAGGTCTGTAGTGTCACTTGACGCGTACATTTAAAAGTCATCAAAGTACATTCAAAAATTTATCATGTCTGTACTTTTAAACCTCGCTTGTCATTGGCCTCCGCTAATCTGATTAGTACAATATATTAATAATGTCTTTTTAGAATAATTGTATAATAAATGTATACTTTTGTACTTGTATTTAGCTTGATGAATATCGTGCTAGTTTGTTAAGTCAATTGTGAATATTTAATATGCAACATTAAAAGAAGTGTTTATAAAATTATCGTAATGGATAAAAATATGCTGTGTAGATCAAGCATACATGAATATATAAAGCTCGATCACAACACAACTACAGCTTCAAGTCCATCGACAATCATATCTACATGTTTCTGGATAGTGCTGCTCCTCCTGGAGAGCCACCTCTTTTGATTAGAAGATACTGGAACAAAAGCTTCCGTTATATCGAAGCTTACAGCCAAGGTAAAGATGCAAAAGACGCCTTCGCCATTGTCAAAGAATTCTCTAAATTGCAAAGATCACATCGCAAGCTTCGGTGAGACCAATAAAAAAATTACACTACAATCAGGAAATGAATTAGGAACTTCTTAAAAAATAAATATATAAGGACATGTGAAATGATCATTTTAAAATGAAATAAGCAAAAAAAAAAAAAAAAAAAAAAAAAATGTTGAGATCGGACTTGAAATTCTCAAAATGTCCGTTTTTTCAAAAATTGTTCATTTTGAAATAGATGCACTGTACATAGGTTATATGTATTATAATTGAGTAACAAGAACAGAGTAATTGTATTCGTAAAATTAGGCGTTAAATACGAGAGCTCTTTCTTGTCAGGCAGCTCTGGAGCCACAGGAATCACTATGCGCATCAACCCGTTTTCCGTGGTCCTAGTGTGGATGCTATTTTTTTAACATCTCCACATCAGGGGGGACTGTTTTCTTCTTCACCACTGCAGCTTCTTTTGTCTTGACGGCATCATTTACTTGAGCCGCTCCAGATTCATTGTCATTATTTAAATTGTCGTCGGAACAGTCAGCCTCATCATCAATATACGGGTTCTTACTGGTTTTTTGTTTTTTAGAAGAACTACCGTCACTTGTCTCTTCTACTAACACTCTTTTCTTTGGCCTGGCCACCGTTCTGTCTGGAATCGGTAATACTGTTGATTGATCTGATTACGTACATGTTACGGTACATGTATGAATAAACTTTTTTTTAAAGAATAAAAAAGAGCTAACCTTTCACTGGTAAAGTAATTTCTGCTTCGTCCAAACATTGCATTATTTTCTGGGTATGTTGGTTTGGATCTACGGAATACAGTTAACAATTTTCTTTTCATGAACAAGCCTACCACGTACTTAAAATGCTGCTTCAATACGGCAACTATTTTTTGGAGCTGGTTCTTTATTGGCTCGGGCATTTTGATAGTTTTGCGATAAAGAGAAAAAAATGATCTACACAAATTTGACATCAATTGCTTCCTTTTATACGCAAGCAGACTCAGTCTGCCAGGAATGCGACAATAAATATATTATAGCAATAATATCAGAAATTACCTACTATCTATTCAGAGACAAAGGAAGAGTGGTTTATAAAGTATTTGATAATAATAATAGATTATATGAGGAGGGGATGGAATGCAAGATAATTGACATGGAACGGGGTAGGTGAGGGAAAGGGAGAGTATATATATATTTTCAAAAAACGTGAGTTTGCATTTAAGAATGTCTAGGATTGTCTTGAAGGTCCTGGAAGGTTTTGGCCACTGATGGTTTTGTATCTCGACATTCCAAAACATTCCAGTAGTTGGGGTTTTATGCTCATGACCAAAGTGATAACTACCTGTTTTATGACCCAGTCGCCATTTCTTTAATTGCACTAACCAGTAGTACCAATTTAACCTAAGGAAGAAAACAGAGTGAAGATCTATTAGAAAAACCAGAAAGGTTAACTCATCAGTGAAACCCAGGAGACTAGTGCAATGCAGGAGGATTATTTAATTCATAGCATCAGAGTTCTTTTATTTTATTTCTACCTCTAAGAATATATACTCCCATCTCGTTATTTCTTCAGGGTTATGTTTCTGTCAAATATCTCAAACAGGTATTGTGCATAAAGTATTGACAAGGATGATTAATTGACTTAAAATGAGTAGTAACTCGTAAGATTTAGTAAACATTGAATAATATGATTGTTTACGGAACCTTTCTGGTTTGACACAGGCGGAGAATTGTGTTGGAAAAAATGTACTAAATGATCGAGAAAAAGTTCGTTAAGGTTAAGTCAGACAGGAAGCTAGAATAATATTGAGAGACAGATTAATGATAGTCCTGAGAATAAATTCGTCCGCGGGCAATTCATAATTATATGACTTGTTGTACAAGGTTTTACAGGGTGTTTCATAGCGGACGAGTAAAACTTAATACTATTGAAAACAAAGTTTTAAGATGATCAAGATCTAGATTAAGTCCTGGGGATAACAAACAGGTAGACAATGTTGGTACCAGTCTCACTTCTTATTTTATTTATAATCAAAAAGCACTAACCATCCGTGAAAAAACCATTACATTCTTGGAGAAATTAATTCTTAGAAATCTACCAAAGAAAAAACGCTCCACAAGAGTAAAACAGCATAAGACTCGTAAATCATCAACTAGAAACAGAAACATTAATCATTAATGATCTAACAAACACAAACAAAATTACCAATGTCTAAAAATGTTACTCAGCCAAACAAAAATTAAAATATAATTTATTAAACAAATACCAGGTTTTAACGGACTGACATTCACTCTTCTACCATCGGTCACACAAAACAAAATACTCCCTGGCACACAGCCGAAAATGTAGGCTAAAAAGAAAAAGACAATTTTTTTTTGAAAAACACCAGCCAAAATTCTGGTCAAAAATCCAAATGTTTTTTCCCTATGCAGACCTTGAGCCCAAAATCCAGGCTAGGCTGAAGGTAGTGCACATAGACGTTAAAAATATTCTATGCTGTTTTTTGTGTGCAAGGTTAGCATTAAAAAGGAGTTTGAAGGTTGTAATAGATTCAGAGGTTTCTGGATTAACCCAAACTACAATAAAAATGATATCCCACCTTTGCAAAACATATGCTAGATTGATATTTGTGTGGTAAGTCTCCTTGAAAAAGGCCTAGCCAATCTTTGAAGGCTGACTGAGCTTGAACACTTGGCAAATTGTGTAACTTTGTGCCCGGAAATGAATTCAGCAAGTTTCCAGCTTTCGAAAACTGTAAGGTATGTAGGGGTAACTCTGTCTAGATATTGCAAGCCGAAAGTTTAAAGCATCTATATGTGTTTCAGAAGTAGAGGTGGATATACTGGTGTTTTAAGCTGTCACAGAAACTGTCACAAATATGTTTGATCGAAGATTGTGAACGAACGCTTGGAAGGTTATGTACTTTTTTTTTTTAAATATGTTTAATTTTTTCTGAATTTTCTGAAAATGTGACTGAAAGTATAGCATTCCTGTCTAGATTTTAAACCAGAGTAATTTTAATATTTTTTCAAGCACTTTTGGCGTAGGGTCTAAGATATTTGTTCTTTAAACAAATATTGTGAACGAACGCTTGGAAGGTTATGTACTTTTTTTTTTTAAATGTATTCAGTTTTTTCGGAATTTTCCGAAAATGTAATTTAAATTGTACTGTCTCTGTCCAGATTTCGGACCAGAGTTATTTTAATATTTTTTCAAGCATCTTTGGGTGTGGGCCAAAGGTATAGGTCCTTTAACCAAAGATTGTGAACGAACCCTTGGCAGGTTATGTACTTTTTTTCTTTTAAATGTATTCAGTTTTTTCTGAATTTTCCGAAAATGTAATTTAAATTGTACTATCTCTGTCCAGATTTCGGACCAGAGTTATTTTAATATTTTTTCAAGCATCTTTGGCTGTGGGCCAAAGGTATAGGTCCTTTAACCAAAGATTGTGAACGAACCCTTGGCAGGTTATGTACTTTTTTTCTTTTAAATGTATTCAGTTTTTTCTGTATTTTCTGAAAATGTAATTGAAAGTATAGCATTCCTGTCCAGATTTCAGACTAGAGTTATTTTAATATTTTTTCATGCACCTGTGGCCTACAGCCTACAGCCAAATATATTGAACTTTAACCAATGATTGTGAACGAACGCTTGGCAGGTTATACACTTTTTTTTTCATTAATCGACTCGAAATTTCCTGGGCTTTCCAAAAAGCTAATAATATTTGGATGGTTAAATCTCAAAAAAGTTGTACTAATTTTCGCCTAATACCCTAACCCTAATTGTCGTTTTCCCCCTTGTCCTAGATATCTTATTGTCTTACGTACGTGATTGTCTTAGTTACCTGATTGCCTTAGTTCCCTCGAGATCTTACTTACCTCGATGTCATAGTTACATTGATGTCTTAGTTATCTGGTTACCTAACTTACATTGTTTTCTTAGGTATATTGTTGTCTTATTTATACCGTTGTCTTGGATATCTTGCCGTTTTGGTCACTTGCGTAACTTGGTTTCAGTGTCGTCTTGGCAATTAATTTTTCTCGAGTGCCATAGTGACTTGTCAGGTTTATCGTCTTGGATACGTCTTTGTTTTCCTTCTTGAATATCATAGATTATGTTAAACTGAATATTCTACAAGGTACTTCTTTTGTCGTATCCTTGTCAATTGTTATGCTAAATATCTTGTTTGCGTTATTTGATATTGTTCATAACTATGTATAACACGCAGTATCATAGTTCTTATTTGTTGCGACGTGTTTATTGTTTTTGAATTGATAATATTGTGACACTTTATTCTTTTTTACCGACTTAGCTTATAAAAAGACTAGTCTTGCGTTTAATTTATATATTAAGGGGTTTCAGTTTTAACCCGCCGGACTGTTCGACTTTTTTTTTAACGATTCGGTTAATTAATTAAGAGCCAATAAAAAGCTTGCAAAATTTTAAAGAACTGAATCCCCAAAATAATTTTTTTATTTTCATTTTTTTGAACGACTTTTTTTTTAAAAATCCGAGCGAATAGAGTTGTTCCTGAGTTTGTATATTGATTATGAGTAATAGTAAAATTAAGGGCATTGTAACTATGACACATCAGCTGTCAATGTAAGTATGACACATCAAAACTGACTGTGGTTATGACACATTAAGAGTGTTTTTTACACCAGGAAAAGTCGGTATATATAATACGTTATTACTATCAGTTGACATAACCATCGTAACCTTTTTTACTTATTAAACAAATGTCTACTTCCAACAACAACACCGAATCCCATGCCGCTTCTACTGGTGCTCCTGCAGCTATCACTTGGTATAATGACCATCATCTTACCAGAAATGAGTTGAATCCCGACGGACTTTGTTCCATTGATGTCTTGATGAATTGGCTTACAACGCCTTCCAACTTCAGTGCATGGAGAGGGGAAAGAGGATCAAAGATTACGAAGCCAACCTTGCTCACTTCCATTTTGAAGGAATTCAAAAAGTTGGGTATCACCACCCGTGATACTGCCGCAATTCGATCCAAGATCAACCGTATCATCAAGGCTTATAGAGTAGCCGAGACGTGGAGAAATCAGACAGGTCAAGGCCTCCTTAACAGTGCCTCAAACGATACGGAGCGTGCAGAACAAGAACAAACCATCTTAGGTAAACCATAATATAAAAATGCATTAACTTCGATGACTTATAAAATGAATTTAAATTTTAGCTGTTTGCAAGAAGAAGTGCAAGGAATACGAAGAGATTGCGCCCTTCTTTTTCGACACTGCTGCAAGTGAGGCTCGTCCGTTCAATGAAGATGAAGATTACGAAAATGTTGAAAACATTATGTTCAACAATAACACCAACGATGAAGACGAGCTCGCGCCAATTGAAATGGTGAGTGTTGATAATGGAGAAGCTGCTGTTTCTGACTTGGATGTACCAAGTGATGCCTCTGTTGCCACCTCTGTTGCCACCTCTGTTGCCACCTCTGTTGCCACCTCTGTTTCCCCCTCTGTTTCTCCCTCTGTTTCTCCCTCTGTTTCTCCCTCTGTTTCTCCCTCTGTTTCTCCCTCTACCACGTCTGATGGACCTACTGCCTCTGCTGATCCTAACAAAAAGAAAAGATCAGCAAGCAATTCAATTATTGATGCTGTTTTAGAGTCGAGCGAGAGAGCCAATGCCTTGTCTGAGAAGCGTGCAAGAACGCATGAACGTGAAGTTGATGCAAGAATTGCGAAGGACCTGGCTGACCAACAATGGCGCCAACGAATGGAAGAGAGGGAGGAGGCCCGCCTCATTGCCAGGGAGGAAGCTGATAGGGCTCAAAAAGCCCATGAACGTAGACAGGCTGCAATGGCAAATCTTGGTCTTCTTATTACTCATAAGTTGATAACGAAGGAGGAGTACTTCGCTGAAGTAAATAAATTGGATTAGCTATTTTTTTTTAATAAACATTTTTTTATTTCATAAATATATAGTTGCATTTCTTTTTTAATGGATTCGGATCGGTTTACGAAAGTGACATTTGATGACACATAATTAGTTGGGGGTACACAAATCAAGGCACAAGTATATATATACTAATGATCTATTTTTTTTTAGTGGTTTATTTTTTAAAACTATCGAAAAAAAAAAGAAGATGCCAGCTATTTCTGAACGTCAATTATTGATCAAAAACCTCGAGAAGATGGTCGCTTTGGATGAAATCCGTAGAAACGAAACACGAAATGACGATGACAACGACAATGACGATACCGCAACCCCAAGCGCCTCTCTAGTCGCTTTATCCGCTGTCATGTCCAATCGCTACCTATCTACCCGAAACCAGGTTCCCAAGCTCAATCTATATGCTAAGTACAGTCTATTAAGAAAGCTCGATACTGGAAGAGTACGACAAGAAATTAGAATGAGCCTGAAATCGTTCAACATTTTACACGAAATGATCCGTGAACATCGTGTATACCGTAATACTGGTGTCAAAGCTCAGACATCTTTGAAAATCCAGATGATGGTTGCACTGGAGCGATTAGGTGTCCATGGTAATGCTGGTTCTGTTGGAAAAATTGCAAGAAACGCTGGTATTTCTGGTAGGTCTTTTAAAACGATCAATATGAGCTATCATATGTAAAATATATTAACAAATACATGTAAAATAGAAGGCTCAGTCGTCACTTTTACGAAACGTTTTATCATTGCTGTAATCGGATGTCTTCAGAAAAAGTATCTCACATGGCCTGATGCTACCAAGAAGGAAGAGATCAAGCATGAAATCGAAAGAAAATACGGCTTCACGGGTTGTGTTGGATTTGTCGACGGCTCTTTGTTTCCTTTTGAGTACAGTCCTAGATGGAGTCGTCAAGATTTTTGGTGTCGCAAATCCTTTTATTCCACTTCTGCCATGATTGTCTGCGATCACAAGCGAAGAATTACGATGGTCCATACTGGCTATACTGGCAGTGCCCATGATTCCCGCGTATTGAATGGAAGTCCTCTCGTGCGCAAGGCAGAGGAGAAGTTGCCTGGTGAAGAATACGTGCTGGCTGACTCTGCGTATGCCCATACAAAGAAAGTCATTCCTGTGATCAAGAACAACAAGGGTCGCGAACTCAACCGACAAGAAAAAGCCTTCAACTATCGACATGCAAGGGCTCGTGTCAACATTGAGAATTGCATTGGAATGCTGAAAGGTCGCTTTCAAAGTTTGCGTGGAATGCGTATGCCGATCGGTGTTCGGGAGGATGTCAGCAAGGTTTCTATGTGGGTTCACACTTGCTGTATCCTTCACAACTTTTTGATAGCAGTCAATGACAAGGCGGATGAAAGCTGGATTTCTGAAGGAATGCGTAGGGAGGATGACGATGAAGACAAGTCCGTAGATGAAGAAGAGGTCAGACTTCGTCGTAAAAACACCCGTGCTTTGTTGGAAGCTGATACTCCAGAAAAAAAACGACTTGTTCTGAGAGATATATCAGATTTGTTTTACTCGAATAAATAATATTTTTGCATGATTTGTGAAACTATTTTCCTGTTTCTTCAAACTCAATCGTTAAAAAAAAAGTCGAAATAAAAGTCGAAAAAGTCAAACAACAAAATAGTTGGTCGCGTTTTTTTTTAATCATGAAAATTTTTTCGTCTTTTTGATTGGATGATTTCGAAGTCACAAAACATTAAAAAAAAAGTCGACCAGTCTGCGGGTTAAAACTGAAACCCCTTATTATAGACTATTCTGAGCATGTCTATACAGTTTCCAGAACTATATAAGTTTATTAAGACTTTTCCATAAATGTTTCTTCATAAAGTTATATGTAGAACATAATTTACCTTTCTCGTTTCTATTGACTTGTTCTCAATCTTCGCCCGTGCCTTCTCAAACATAATGGGGACTAATAGAATGTTGTGGATAAACGATTAGCCAATGTCCCATCATTTAAAGCCGGCCAAAAAAAGTTTCTTGTTGTTACTTTTTTACTTGTGTTTTATAAAGTGTTTCGTCCCATACTGTATCAATGGTGGTTTTTGTCATATTCCGCGTATTGGACATACTCTCTATCCTCATGAAAAGCCATTCGGACTATCCATCAATTTCGGTAGTGGTCATAACGAAGTTTAGCTCATTCGCGTCTTCTTAATCATTCCATATACCGTATACACTTTGTGAATATGTATGGAATATTTTCTAAATTTTGCACGAAAATATGCTGGTAGCTACAAAACGTTTTTCGGAATGTATCATTTAAGGTATACGTTTTATAAATACACTATTTCGTACTCAGTAAGCGTTCCATAAAGATTTCAGGACTACTTCATTATAATTGCAAGCTCGTTGTACTCGGTGAAATAATTCTCTGGCGTACACTATAATTATGACGAGCAACATTTGTAGTAAAGGTTTCAGAAAGAAACATATCGTCCAACAATTTCATTTTGTGACTCTTTCTTGGGTATTTCGTTTATTGCAGTTTAATCTTTACCATATTTTGTAGGAACTTGCTCTAGTATTTGTTAGAAATGTTAGAAATATCTTTATTTCTATGTTGGTATTTACTGTTTTGTATTTGACGCATGAATCTACGAGTTTACGATTTTTGCATGATTATCTTGATCATTTTTTGTGTTAGACTTTATATAATTGTTGAAATAGCTACGGTAGATTATTTCAAATGTAGTGATACTATCCCGAGGTCTTCATCATTTTTTTTAGACTCCTAAGAAATATTTTTATAACTCTAGTACAAATTTTCTTTTTCTGTATAGTTTCTTTCGGATAGATACAATATTGTCGTATTTCTTTCTGATAATTGTAGGAGAGATCCATAAGGTGGTACATTAACCGTTTCAAATTTTGTGATCATTTAAAGTGTCCTATAAAATATACTTTGCTGATATTGCCATTTTTTACTTATTCTACGTCGTAATTTTTTCAATATGGTTTTAATTCATCATCTATTGATCCTTATGCAGTGTATATTATTTCTACTGCTCGTTTAAACTATTCCATTCAATCTTTACTTCTTGTCTCTGTGCGAAAACTCTTGTCTTATCTACTTTGGCGCGTTCTTAATTAATCTTATATTTCTTTCTCAACGTTGGATTTATCTTTCTTATATCTTGTAGAGACACTCGTTAGAGACAGTCACAATAGTTCAAAAATTTATCCCAGTTATTGAAACTGTCGGAAAATAAATTTCTTATTTATTTATTCATTGGTGTAGATCGGTAATCATTATCAAAGCTATATCATCAAACATTGTGATAAGATTTTCGTATTGGGTTAAACGGTGCGCTGAATTTTTCAAAATGCCCCTAGCTGTATTCATGCTTTTAGATCTTTACAAATGTCCTTTCACACTCGTCCATCATTTTGTTAAAAAATGTTAAGTAATAGTTTCACGAATCATTAATCACCTTTTTTTCAGGGTAATTTGATTTCGCAGCTCCCTTTATAGCTTCAGATAATGTAATTCTTAGGGGCCCCGCAAAAAATCTTTACATATTACATACTTATTATCAGTAGTACATCTATGTACTGTCTGATTTTTTGGTCCCTCTTTCTTTAGTTGTTTTTACCATTAATGATAACAATTCTAGGAATTATTAAACTATTAATATGTCGTTAAAACAATTCTTTGCCATTCGACAATTATTTTTCCATTTTTGTCTTACTTGTCCTTTTTTCCAATTTCTCTTTGCTTGAAACGAAATCGTGTTTGCGTCTTTTTAAATTTTAGGATTAATTTGGAGATGTTACTTAGTCTATATATGTGCTTGCGGTCATTCAGTATGGTTTTTGAAAGTATTAATTGGTATTATAAGGTGCTCTCAAGGTAAAATTCGGAATGGTGATCGAGCCTTTTTTGGGAGTGTACCCCATTTCTTAAATTAGACAATAAAATAAAATTCAATGATCAGGTGATGACGTGACAGCTTTTCACTTTCGAATCTACTAAAGGACCAACGTGATTTATTAAATCAAAGAAAATAAAAAATAAAATATTTCCTTTTCGCTTATCTTAATTTTTTTAAACTACTTATTTAACATGAACCCAATTGACGAAACTTTCTTCGACATGATGCAAGAACAACTTTGGATGGAAGATGACGCTGAACATTTCGAAGACGAAGATCAATATTTCGATGCCTTGGTGGACGAAATTAGTGCAATGGACGAAGAGTACGATTTGGAAGAGCAAATGCTTGAACAAGAGGTAGCCATTGCCGAAGAGCGCGTTGTTGCAGACTTTGCCCGCACCCAAGGCAACCAAGATGTCTTTTCCTTGTTTGAACTTTGGATCAGGGAAACAATTTTACATGCAACCACTCTTGTCAACTATGACATTTTTTATTATATTTTTATAAGCAGCCCTTGGATGATGACCAGAGAAGTCCACAGAAGGGTTGTTAGAACCGAGCGTATGGACACGTATGAAACTTACTGGACAATCAAGCACCCTAACCTGTCAGATGATCGTAACAGCCGCCACAGTTATAGAGCCCATTATCGCGTTAACAAGAGTACCTTTGAGTGGCTCGTCAATCGTTTAAGTAGATGTTCTGCTTATCTTGGATCAATTTTGCGAGGTGGATACTCTGTGGAAGTCCAGGTTGCGTGTGTGCTTTGGAGATTTGCCAACACCCATTTTGGTTATCGCATTGCTGAAACACATCTTGGAGTAACTGCCGGATCGTTCAATAATTTCACAAACAGATTTATTGATGCCATGTTGGAGATTACTCCCGAAATTATAACGTGGCCTATCGACGACAGAGATAGAGCTTTGAACAATGCTCGTGAGTTTTCAGAACTTGGTGGACCTGATGCCACGAGACTTTCTGGTGTACTAGGTGCGATTGATGGCAAGCTGGTCGTCAGTCAAAAGCCAGCAATTAACGGAAATGCATATGTCGATAGAAAGAGCCACGCATCTATGAACTTAATGGCCATATGCGATGCCCGTACTCGGTTTATGTATGTAAAAACTGGGCATTCCGGTAAGTTCGTATGGAAGGATAAAAAATGATATAGCAGCTTACCGTTTGTTATTATATTAAGGCAGAAACCATGATGCCCGAGTGTTTACTAGCAGTGTGATCTATCATAAACTTTTGTTTGATGCGGCCAGATGGTGTCCCGCAAACACTTATATTTTGGGAGGTAAACTCATTAATCATACCATAGTGTACAAATTATTAATGATGTAACCTAGATTCGGCTTACCCTTTGCTGCCAAACCTCATTGTTCCATTTCATGGCCGACGTGAAAGCACTGCAGAAGAAAAGATTTTCAATGAAATCTTTTCTAGTTCTCGCATAAAAATAGAACATGCATTTGGTGGACTCACATCCCGGTGGAGATTCCTTTGGAAGCATTTGTATATGCTTAGTGTTGATAGAATGGCCAAAACTATCATATCTTGCTGTGATTTACACAACATTTGTATAAATCAAAATGACATTGAAGAGGCAGTGTTGGATGGAGGATTAGATTTCGAGGGTTTTGTGGAGGCAGATCGCCGAAACCAGTATGAAAACGAGGTGAATTTTGAACCCCCTCTTCCTTTTGATGGTACCAGCGCTACCATCGACGCAGCCGGGATGCGCCGTCTTAAGGCAATGTCTATCTTAAGAAGAAACAATATCATGAGGGGAACAGATAGACTTTCATAGTTTTCAAAAGGTTTTAATGAATTAAAAATTTTATTTTATTTAATTAATTATTGTTGTCAGTAGAAGATGAACCATTAAGATTGGTATCACTATCACCTCTTCGAATGGCTGCGAATCTATTCAGGATAGTCTCCATATCAGACATACGTCTACGTCTATGCTCTTCCATGTCAGCCTCTCGTCTACTTCTTACTTCTTCGAACATACGGTATCTCTCTCTGGTCTCTTGTCGCCGTCTTGCTTGCATATCTTCCAGTGCAATTTGTCGATTACGACTGATACGTTGCAACATGTTATCAACATCGAGAAGTCTTTGTTCTCGATCTTCCCTTTGTGATGCTGCCATGCGATCCATCATCTCTACACCAAGTTGGCGGGCACGTGCCATATGCTCGTCTGACAACTGACGAGCAGCTTCAATAGGATCAGTTGATGAAGACTGCTCACCAGAAGTTCGACTATTTCTCGATGTACGGGTAGATCTTGGTGGAGGTGGTGCAGAAGAAGGTGGAGGTGGAGGTGGTGCAGATGAAGGTGGAGGTGGAGGTGGTGCAGATGAAGGTGGAGGTGGAGGTTGTGCGGATGTATATGGAGGTGGAGGTGGAGGTGGTGCGGATGTATATGGAGGTGGAGGTGTGGATGAAGGTGGTGGTGGAGGTGTTGTGCCTGTCGATGTTGGTGGTGCTGCGGATGCTGATGTAGGTGTTGGTGTTGGTGTTGGTGGTTCGGTTGTTGGTGTTGAGGTTGGTACGGCTGTTGGTGTTGGTGTGGGTGTTGGTGTTGGTGCTGTTGCTGGTGTTGGTGCTGGTGCTGGTGCTGGTGCTGTTGTTGGTGGGGGAGGTGCGGATGCTGATTCAAAAAATGATGGCACTGCAGGTCCTTCGTTGTTGGTAGAATCTCTAGCAGGATATCGATCAGCAAATGCTTTCTGAATGACAAGTTGATCAACTTCTGTAGGTCCCAAGTATGTTGTTTCAGGGCCATCGGATCCAATAGCATTCATCAAATTGGCGTCGTTAAATCGTCTGTAAGATCGAATACCACTCTCTTGCATGTTGATGCTTTCGTAAATCACTTCAGATTGGATGCTGGGATCATCCTGAGTAATCTTAGCAATTTCCTCGTAGCACGGCATGTTTGGAACAGTTCCACCAACTCCGGTTTCTCTTGCTGCATTTCTTACTCTGGTAAAACGCTGCTTCATGTCTGCCCACTTTCTTTGCATGCTTGTCTCACTAAAGTTGGTCAAAAAAGCCGTGATGACATCAGTGGTAGCATTCTCAGCTAACTTTTCCTTCAGCAAAGCAGCCGAATGTACCCAGATAAGCTGCTTTAAGGCAGTATCGCTTCTTCTCAGCAAGTAGCTGTAGGTACCAGCCATAATTTCGAGGAGGATACAAATAGCTACATCAGGCCATACATTGTAGGACCGTGAAGATAATTGTTCAGGCTCATCGTCATCATCAACGTTGGCGTTACTGTCAGCTTCGATGTTGCCGTTGTCAACAGGAATGGTGTTTTGCTGAACGGTAGGATCGACAACAAACACAAAAGTGCCAGCGCGTCTGCCACGTCCACGTCTGCCTCCACGTCCATTTCCACGACCGCGTCCACGACCACGTACATTGTTGGGGGCATTGTTATTAGCTTCGGTATTGTTCATAGTAAGGTAAGTAATAAAATGTATTTGACAAATTAAAGGGAAAGAAAAATAAAAATAAAAAAACACTGGATTTAAAGAAGTTCGTTATTTTATCATTTCCTTTTCAAGTAAACTATTTTGAAAACAAGATCACTTTGATCATGTTTTTATTTGATTCCTTATATGTATATGTATTATTTTGCCCAAATTTAGCTCTACATTTCAGAGACTTTTTTCACTATTTTTGTATAAAAAATAGGCTATTTATTTTCGGTTTCCGATCTTGAGAGCACCTATAGTCATTTTCCAGATATTTTATAAAGTAATCTTTTCTCTACTTTATTCATTGATATTTTACTTAGCTCGTGTGTAATTTACATTTTTTTTTTATGATTCGAAACCTATTCCAATTTTTAAACCGTTGTTGATGTTACTGTATGCTTTGAGTTTTGCTTCTACAAGAAATGAATGAGTTACACGTACAAGTATTCCAATAATATTGCTGGCGCATTACCTAGACTGTTAAATAATGGGCCAAAACAAAAGAGACGATGCACGACGCGTTTCACTTGCTGCTTCTTCACAGGTATAATACAAAAGGTTGCTGGTGTTGTATACACGAGTCCTAAAGTCATTTTGCTTGTCTATGTAGACAGGCACACCTGATAAAAAGAGATCCCTCCTGGTCATCTTTTTTTAAAAAAAGTTAAAGAGCCGTGCAACAGTAGAATGTAGCAATAGTTCTTTTTGTTTTGCTGGAGTAAGAGAGGGATAAACCTAACCACACATGAAGCCATAGTATAGTCGATTTACATGGGTTTTGTTTATTTTTGAGTGATTGAAAAAATATTCTTCGTCAAGCTATGAACTCAATAAAGTATGGATAAGACAGCACAGAGAAAGAAGGTAGTGGTTTCTTTTCATGATATTGAAGACTACAAGCAGTGTTATTCTTTTATAGTGGTAAAAAAGGTCCTTGTAGAGTAGATGGATGAAAGAAAGAACAAGGAAATAAGAGTCCTTTTTTTTGGGTGCTATAATTATAAAAATGGCATGGGTGTTCTTTCGCAACTTTATTTTCTTGCTATGGCGATATGGCTGTAGAGAGTGTTGGTGAAAAACGTGTTCAAACGTGCCTTTTTTAAAAGTTTCTCTTTTTACCTTCACGTTTTCTTCACATCAGATTTTACACCGTGGCGCTTCAGAACTTATAATAAATGACGCAGACCTAAAAAACCCTGTCCCATCACTAGATTACTCCTTTACACATAAAGCTGTTTTCTTATACCATATCTGGCAGTACAAAGGGTGTAGATAGTTATTTTAAAGGATTCGTGAACATTTGAATAATGTGGCAGATGAAAGAAAAGAATAAAGAAAAAGAAAGAACCGGGGGGATAGATGACGTGTGCGGAGATTTTCTGCTGGCCATTGATTTTGCTTCCGCCCGTGCCCATACACCACTTTCAATTTACATTCTTTGCTACTTGTTTCGTTTGTTCCTTCTTTACATAACGACATATCTCCCATACACCTTTTATCAGTCATAGAGGTTACATCATCGTTCTAAATTTTATGGCCCTTTAGATATAAATTAAACTATCAATATAAAAATAAATGAAAAAGAATACATAGACTTGTCATTTATTTTCCACTTTATACACCTGTCCTTTGTTCGTTACAGAGACTTCTATGTTTACTTAGCTTCAACTTTTTTTTTAACATAGAAAAGGCGTGACATGCTCTTGTTCCTGTTTTCCTTCATTTAAAATGCATTTTATGCTTCGTGTTTAAAGCCAATACGCCTTCATCTTATTTATCATGACATACACGATAGTAGCATACGTTCATCTTTACAAATTGGACCAAGATCTGTATTAAAAAGATCAGCTTCTCGGTCAATACTTGATACATCCTTTTACTGCTAGCGTTGTTCCCTTTACTATACCCCATTGAATGTTTCTTTCATTGTTCAATATTATTCTTTACTTGTTCATCATCCTTCTGTGTAAACAAAATGAATCTATCATTACTGTTTAAGATGAAACCCCCTTCATAAAGAATCTACTTTATTCGGCCATCAATCAATGCACTTACCATGAACAGGGCACCATGATACATACATTCTCTCTTTTTTTTTCTTGTTTAGTTTGACTCATTTTTGAAGAAGCTCGGGGTTCATGTTCCTTGTCTATCACTTGACTCTGTCTTTGCTGACTTCAATTTATCTACCCAAACTGATGACTCTATACATGGAAGAAGAATGTCGTACTGATTCCTTCTTATAGGTCTTGGCACTCTAATAGAACGATTCACCGCGTTAGTCTCTCACACTACATTACTACCTTTTGCTGGTGGGTTACCTTGGAGCCGCGACTCTTGTTATTGATAAGACAGGAAGAAAATTTAAAATAAAGTCCTGGTCTTTCGTATAAATATTTCATTTTGTCACAATTAGGATCAATGAAACACTACGACCTTGAATGAAAGCCAAGTAGCAAAAATGAACTTCTTTTTTATTTTGAATATCATTGCAATAAATGTAGTCGCTGTCTTTATAATATATGTAGTGTAATTCTCCAGTTTTGTCCAAGAAAGTGGAGCGAAGCTGAAGATCTTCTAGTTCCTTGGTTAAGGCCTTGTCCTGCTTGATAACATTAATGAACTTCTTGAATTTTTCCCCGCTCCATCGTTCAAGGGCTGCAACGTAGTAAGGAATTACAATTGCAAGAGCCCCGTATTTAAACTCCTTGAACAAGACATGGAATCTTTTACCAGCAGCTTTTAATAGTCTGGTCTGGTACTTACTATGTTGACCGTCTATTAAAAGAAGGTTAAATTTTTAAAGTATGCAATAGGCCATGTATGTTTTACCTTTTATTGTTTGCATGTGTTTCTTGTGTATTCCTTTGCTTTGTAATTGTGACTCTTCCAAGAAACAGAAAAAGTGATAGCATCCAACGTATTGGATACACTTTCGCAACACATAGTATGTCTGACCGGCATTAAAATAAAAGAAGATGTCTTTTAAAAACTTGTCTATATCTTCGTGCTGGGTAGTTTAGGTCAGAGTAGGCATTATTCATACTCTAATCGCCTTAAGTCGAAGTTCCTAATTTAAGATAGACTTGTTTTGTCTAATCGCCACTGTGGGCGTTACAATTGCATCAGCCTCCTTTGCAGAGGTGGTAGGCACCTGTACGGGTGTGACCACATTGGTTTCATCGGATTTTTGAGTGTCATTTTAAAACGAGGCCTCGTCATCGACGTACGGGTTGGTGGCGTACGATTTCTTTTTCTTACCGGAAGAGCTACCGTCTTGGGTTTCTCCGGCCATTCTTTTCATTGGCACTGCCATCGGTCTCCTCCCAATGGGCAAGGGCGTAGATTGTTTTGATTATGTACATCTTAATATATATACATTTTTAAAATAAAAAAAGTGCTCACCTTCTTCGGTCGGTAATTGAATATTTGACATTCTCAAACCTTGACTAATAAGATGGCATAGTTTTCTGGATCTAACAAAAATAATTGGTTATATGTTACAAGATGATTGGTTTACCTTGTACTTACATTCGCTTTTGATACTAACATGCACGTTATTTAATTCAGTTATTTATGCTTTTTTTGTGTTTGATGTCGAACAACAAAAAGGGTGAGAGATAAAGAAATTTGTCGTCCATCACCACCTTTCAATATGCATTTTGGATTCAATCGCGTACCTGTCGGAAAGCGACTTTTTGTATGTAGGTGCAAAAGTCGAATTATTCTGTTTTTCTTTTTCGCGTTCTTCTTTTAATAGTAGCCGAGAGCTATATTAAATACTATCGCTACTTTACTATCAGAAATAGCTGTTTTATGTCTATTCCACGATCATTGTATACGCACAAAATGGTAAGAAAAAAACCGATAAGCATTCGTTGTTTTACGTTTCAAAAGACGGGTGAGATGTCTAAATTAAAAGCATTTCGTTGTCATCTTATAGCCTTAGATTCGATCGAAGTCGGGTGTTAAAAAATTACTGTCTGCTCTTTTTGTTTCTTTCAAACGACGGGTTTTCCCTAAGCTCCCCCGCTTTAATATTTTAGCACTATTAATGTTTGATAACTATCAGCAAAACGTTTTTATAACTAAATATTTAAACTAATTGCTTTTGTTTCAAAGAAATGTTACAATCGTTCGTCTGTCAGAAATCTGTAGCAAAACGTTTTTTGGGGTATAAAATTTTAATTAAAAAAGAGCAAAACGTTTATCAGGTTCAAGCTTAGGGACAGGTTATATTAATTGTTTTCCATGAGAAATGATTCGTATCGCATTATTTGGTATATAAGACATGGTATCGAAATACTTAGTCAGGTTAATTATAATGCGTACAAAATACAACATAAGGACTAGACACCTGTAGTGATATACTTTACAAGGAGTTGCGTAACTTCAACACAGGCAATTACTATGTTGGGTAAGACTTTACAGGAGATTCCATGGCAACCAAAATAGTAAACTTCCGTCTTTTTGGACATTCCTTGCACACGTGATTAGGCGGAATAATAATCAGGAGTATGACTATATCAAGTTTACGGCAGAGATTGCGTAAAGAAAAATTGAAAATGCGTTTATTTTTCTAGCCATAAAATTTGCAGCTCAATATACAAATAGGCCTTGGACACAATAATTGACCTTCTGCTATTGCAGTTTTTGAAAAAGCTCCATATATTTTAAAATAACGAACACTACAGCCACGTTTTAGCAATTAAATATCGACCAGTCAACCGACCGGCCAAAAAATAATTTACGAACCGTCAACCTGCCGATCGAAAACTGGAAGACGATCGGTCAACCCGCTGGTTGATAGTTAGAGGATTGTCATGAACCGCCTATGTTTCAGTTGCATATAATCATGCAAAATGTCTCAGAAAATTATTGAAACCCAACTAGCCCGTTGTTCCTGTTCCACCTGTTCCACCTGTTCCACCTGTTCCACCTGTTCCACCTGTTCCACCTGTTCCACCTGTGCCATCTGTTCCACCTGTTCCCTGTTCTCTGCCTCCTGTCACACATGTCACTGTCAAACATCACTATTGTATCCTGTCTAACGCCTGTGTTCCAAATAATGTATCCCTGTTGTCCCTTGTGCTTGTAAAACCATTTAACATGCGTTCCCTTGATAACTCTGCCTTTGAACTCCCTTATAAAACATTAATAATATCAGCTCATGTTATCCTCTGTATCTATTTGCGAAATTATATGTGTTCATTCCCGCTACCCCAAAGATGTGCCAAACTAAATATGGCCGTTCCCAAGCAAACATTATTTTCAAAAACAAATCGCTCGATATGTAAAAAGGTTTGGTCCCCCCAGTATAAGTACTAGCTTATAATTTTAGTATACTGAGGATAGCAATGTGGCCCATATACAACCAGTAAATAAGACATGCTAGTTTAGTAATTAGAAATATTATTTTAAGTCATGTCTCACATGTTTTTGCTTTTTTGTAATTTATAGCCCCCACCTACGAGGGTATAAATTACTAATTTGTAAATTGCCCAACCCCCCATAAATTTTGGCTCGTAAAATGTTTTTTTATAGTTTAAATTACTATTTTGAGCTAAATACTTTTGTTCCCAAAACGTAAAAAAAGTTTTGCTTGGGAACGGCCTATGACTAATAGTCAGTCTTTGTTAATCTGATCCCCCAACCTTTGTTTACCCAATCTGTCAATAAAGATAAATAACAGTATGTTTATTTATTCTTATTTCTGTATTCAAGAACTTATCTATTTTTCCTGCTCCTCTGAATAAACCTTTTTCTACCTTCATTCCTTTTTATATATGTATTAATACTAATAGATATATAATGTCTGTTTCTTTTGTCCTCACCTTAATAATTATTCTGTTCTGCTCTTGCCCCGACCCACTCCTCACAGGCCTACTAATTGAACAGGTTATCTTGATTAATTTTTTTTATAGCTCTGTTCAATACACCAATACTAGAACCAGACTCCAAAGCAATGACACCATTAGAGCAGCATTGGACTAAACGAAAATGTGGTAGACTCTAAAATGGGTTACATGTTTAGAATAAAAATGTTTCAGTAAAGGTTATGAAAAAAAAGTGTTTAACATGTTATAATAGTGATAATAGCTTATATATTTCCTATGAAGCGCTGTTAACCGGATCCATAACTTAATAATAACAAAAAACAGAAAACTAAAAATGTTTGGAAAGTTTCTCTATGAATGAGTATGTGATGTCATTACACAAAATACGAAAACCTTAAACGGTTACGATACTTTGGAGGGCACTGTATATACGTTTTTGAAATTCAGCGCACGTTTAAGGATGTTCTGATATGATTTGCGACTTACCTTAGATGTGAAATTAGCTCAGATAATCCCCATACAAGTTTAGAATGCTTGAACCATTTCGGAACCGTTTCTAATTTCTTATAATGTATTTTGGTCATTAGTTTAATGTAATCAGGGAACCCTTAAGTATCGGATCTGTAGGGATAACGGACCGGAGTACCCTAAAGTTAACGGATTTTCAGGGATAACGGACCGGAGTACCCTAAAGTCAACGGATTTTCAGGGATAACGGACCGGAGTACCCTAAAGTCAACGGATTTTCAGGGATAACGGACCGGAGTACCCTGAAATCAACGGAATTTGAGGGATAACGGACCGGAGTACCCTGAAATCAACGGATTTTGAGGGATAACGGACCAGAATTCTCAGATTTGTATGATTTAGGCTGCTGACATGAAACAAAATAAATTGAGATCTTAAATAAAAGATGTACTAATATGGACAAGCTCCGTTTTTTTTTAAAAAAAATGTTTTTTTATATATACTTTTTTCCTAAATTGAAGTCTGTCAAAAACAATGTTCCCATATTTTTTTATTATCAATCTACTGCTCAAAAAATGAAAAATCTGTGGGCATCGAATGTGAAGCCTCTAGAAATAAACGGTCCTAAAATAGACAACTAAAATGCGAAAATACAAAATAAAATTTTATTACTGTTTCCTTACCTTGATTTTTTTAAAATGAACAATCAAAACAACAACAACAACCCTATTAATTTCCAATTTATTTAAGTGACACCTAATGGTGTAGGCTATGGTAGCAACCGTCGCATGCTACTACTGTTTCAGAAAAAAGGAGGTTCCTGCTGCTGCCGCCGTTTCCCCGGCTGCACCTGCTACTGCCACTGCGGATGCCACGGAGGCTGCTGGCACTATTAAGTTTCGGATACCAGATACACGCACTCAAAAGGGAATTCAGCTAGGACCTTTTCTCTTATTGAATTGTATGCTGATTACAACAAGCGGTTGGAGTCCAATCGTACGCTAGCTGAAATAAATGAGTTGTACCGTGCATGTTGCACTCATTCAAGACCAAAAACGGCACCAATGGAAGCAGACCTTCTAGTCCATTGAATTCTAAGTGGCTGCTCACTATGCTGCCATCAGACATCGCAATGATAGGTTGAATCCAACTGGTATGGCACCGATTGAAAACTGGGATTAACATGATGCGATGCAAATCCCAACAATGAGATGCCCACGGTAATCCCACCCACTGTGTATACCTCTCTTGCTGGAGAGACGATCGATAATCGTGGTAAAGCTGTCGGTGCTAGACGAGGAAGAGCCGTCAAAGACGATGGTGCTGAGGAGGGTGTGACTTGTCGGGCTGCCAGTAGAAGTAGAGCGGTAAACCGAACGATCGCGCACCTGGTCACCTCTATGAATGAGATTGATGCACGTCGTTTTGAGCATGGAGAGCCCGAGCGTAGAAAGTTCACTAGATACCTTGCTCGTTCAACAACGTTTTTCGGTCAGATGTTGGATTCCATGGAGAAATGGAACCAGGTGCAGTCTCGCATTGCTGAGTAGATGCAGGCCAATCTGGATATCCAGCGCCAGATGCTGAAGGTAATGAAAGTGGATTTTGGCTCAAGCAACAACAACGCCACCAGCTACAATGCGTTTGAAAACGGTGACTACAATTACACCAACAACACCAGCCACTACTTCCGCCCAGATGTCATTGATATTCCTGACGCCAATGACTATCAGTTCAACAGTACCTCTGCCAGCAGCAACAGCGCCTACAACAAACACCGACGCCAAAAACACCATCACCAGCAACATCGTCCTTAACAGCACCCTCCCAAAAAACACCTTCCGCAAGAACATCTTTCCCAATAACACCTTCCCCAAGAACACTGCCTTCATCCCCTCTGTCAGTCGCATGGCGATTGATGGCAGTGTCAGACGGTTTCTCCTGTTCTGTAAGACGTGCTTGAAATCACTTATCCTTCGCCTGATTAACATAAACCTCAAAACAACGACTAAAATATATTTGGCATTTTTTCAAAAATAAATTTGTTTTGTTTTAAAAAAATTTAGTTCTTAGCAAATTTAAGGAAAAGCTGCATTAGAGATGCGCAAGCGGGCACTGTTACAGATAACACATGTATCACCTTGCTCTCCAATTACATGACCAGCAGGCTCAAGAACCACACCATCGAAACCTATCTCCCCTCTTGACTTACATGCATTCTGTAGAATAGCACACGACCCGATGATATTACTGATATCCAAATTATCATACACGTAAATATGGAATTGTGTGAATCTCCGCCGATGAATGAACTTACCAAAAGTTCTTTCAATGGCCATTCTTCTGGTTGAATGCGAATAGTTGAATAACCTCTTGCGCGGACCCCGGAGACATTCACTTTCAGGGAATGGTTTAACCAAATTGACAATGGTCGGATTGGCTGAATCACGTAGAAAATAAAATCCTTTAGGGAAGTAATGCCCAGAATTGTTCATGACCTTCCAGCTGATATCACTGGAATTTTAGGCTGAGGCATCGTGACTTCTGCCTAGTGTATTCAAAGTAAATTAGTTTCCAACTCTCATATTTATATTGGTCATTTTACCAGAGTCTCGTACGCGAATGTAAGTAAACATACAAGTATCGTCACAAACAGCAGTAAGTTTAATGGTGTAATTGTTTTTTCTGTCACGGAACCCGCTCCATAAGCGGCTGGAGTTGAATTATGAATGGTAACGTTTTTGCAATCAATAGCACCAGTTGCATCCAGAATAATCACACCAGAACCTTTGTGGAATCTAGTAGATATAGCACTCACCATGGCTGAATTGTTAGGCCAATCAATCATATAGATAAACACATCCTTGATGGCCGTCACGTTACGCCTCGTAAAATTGGTATAGCTGCCATACGAAACACCATACAGGACGTACATGTTTCTATATCTAAGACTGACAATTGGCCAGTCTCAAAAGAGAGGTAGCTATCTGAATGTAGATAGGAACCTGGTTTGGTGTCTTAAAATCAAATTCGGGATGAGTAGACAATCTGTTGACAAGCCAATTGAAAGAGTCCCTTCCCATTTGATATGTGGCACAGAAGCTATCTACTAGGTTTTTGTCGTCGTCGTTGATTTGGGATGTTGTACCTCCCAAAACGTGTATCTTTCAGACACTGTTGTGGCACCCACACCGACAGTTCGCGTTCTGGTGATAATTGCCCCGGTCATAAACAAAGGCAAGGAAGTCATAGCCATTCCAAGTTCCTCGAGAAATCGGCTGCAAAAAGTCGTACTGCAATTGCTGTTCTCCACGCAAACGCACATTAATGACAGTAAGGTAGAACAAATCTACAATTTCTTGGTTCTTGGCAGCAATGTTTTCACTAAATGCATAAGAACAGTTTGTTGTTGTCTTAACATTTTGAAGATGAGGAAAATTTGTTGGTGAGTTTGAGAATTCATTGAGAAATTAAATTGAAACAGAGAAAAGGAAAAAAGGAAAGGTAAAACACGAACTAAATAAAAAAAAATCTTGCCGATAGTTTAGTAAATCGAATTGCACTAGTTCCAGGATAATGTTTATTTTTATTGTTTATATTTTTTAAAAAGCAGTTTTTGGAAAAAGATTGACCTTCAAAAAAAATATCTAAAAAAACGGCGCTTGTCTATATTAGTACATCTATTTAAGACCTCAATTTATTTTATTCGATGTCAGCAGCCTAAAATTGTCTCTTATAGGAATCGAACCCAGTCGGGAAAACGAGGTGTGTGTAGATGCTAGTATTTAAACGTACTTTTTACAATGGCTACCGATGTCTGGACCTCAAGACTAGTACCATTCGATAGCTCTCGTTTTTTTACATCTAAATCAAAAAAATGGTATATGCATCCAAATCAAATTGCTTGTCGCTAATTTGCTTCTATTGTCTCAGTCCCTTTCTTTCTTTCTCTGCTTTCTTCTTCTTCTTCTTCTTTTCTTCTTCTTCTTCTTCTGATAGCGTTCTTGCTTTTATCGTTCCCTATTTCGTCCGGTGTTGCTCTGCCGCTGCTTCTAGGGCTTCTTCTTCTGCGGCTTCTCTTGCGGCTCCTCCTGCTCCTCTGCCAGTAGCGCTTCCTGAGGCCCTCCTGCGGCATCCTTTGTGGCTGCTTCTCCTGTGGCTTCTCCTGCGGCTACCCTTGCGGCTTCTCCTGTGGCTTCTTGGCTCTGTACGGCTCCTCCTGGTAAAGCTACTCCCGCGCCCTTGTCTGCGGCTCCATTTGTGGCGGCCCGCCCCCTGACTTTTTCGCCCGTCAGTATGAACGTAAGTTTTTCACCATGGTAATGGTTACTCGATAAAAGTAGCCTACATCTAATGTTGTATCTCTCTCTAGTTGGTGACCGTTTGCGACGTTTTCCTGGTGTTATTGTACACGCGATCACCACCACCACAAAAGCCATTCGATTGCCCTTTGCTCGTGTTGCTAGAGGGCAGTTGGAGTTGAATACGGTCGTAAGGGAGTATATTTTCTTACAAGGAAACATGGCCGCATCACAGGTTCGAAACCTTCTTCTGGCTTTGATCCTTTTTTTAATAAATGATGGGGTGCTCACGGTGCGCCAACATGCTTGTAAGTTGTTCAATGATGTTTTCAAAATCACCTTAACTTTTTATCTTTATCAAACAAAAATGTAGTGCTTCACTCACCCAACCCAACACGTTCTGAGTTAGA